CGCAGTTGAATTAACATCTAATGGTTTCATTTCGGCAGGCATGATGAATCGTTCCAATCGCGACGCCAAAATGTGGGAATTGAGTTTCGTACGTATATCGGTATAACCGGACGAACTAGAAATGAAGAATTCAGCGAGGCGTAACAACCAGCACGTATGTATTCGAATTGGCGAATATGTGCAGCATATATGGAATATTAAAACAAGAGAATAATGAATAGCGCAACGAATAGAGTATCAGTCATGTTCATCACATAAACTCACCAAGTAGTTGGAGCTTACCACCTGAAGCATTTCTGGCAGTGTTGATTGTCGTCTGAGTTCTGGTGATCCGATCTTTCTCCAGGTGCGCCGGGAAACACTCGTAATATCAGAAGCCGCGTCGAGCTGCAATCGAATTGTGCTTCCGTTTGCTCTGACTGTGACATACTTGCGACGATCATCGATCTGGTTATCGAATGTTGAGAGTATTGTGTTAAAACGTGGTTCTGATTGGCTTCGTTTATTTCGTGACCTCCGGGGTTGACTGCGCCTTTGGCTAGCTTTCCGCGTCCGGCACTGGCTTTCCTTGTGCCCACGTCGATTGCACACTGAACATTTGTGCTTTTTATACGGACACAATCGCACAAATTGCCGTTTGCCGCATTGCCAGCATGCTGACGGAGGCTTTGCTCAATTCGACTTTGTCACCACAGGAGGTTGGTTCGATGTCGTCTTGGCGATGTTGAAATCAGGGTTGGATAAGGGCTTCTCCGACATGGGCGTGTCGTGCTTAAGCTTTAAAAGGCGCTGGCACTCATGGGTAATAGACTGCAGCGTTATCTCGGAAGTTTGTTCAATCTTGCTCAATAGTCTCGCCCTGATATCACTGTCTGAGTGCGACTGAAGACCACATGAAAATAAGGCACTTGAACTGGTCTTCCGTCATGGCAGATAACTTGAATTGTTCGCATTCAAGGTTGACTCTACCGGCATAAGTGATGTAGTCTTCGGATTCTTTTCTCGCCAGTTTCATACATTGTTAGCGAATATTAAACAAGGACGAACGCTCACCGAAAATCATTGAAAGTTGCTGCACGGTTTTGTCAAAACTGAAATCTCGCGTGTTCTTAGGCAGGATAAAGTTGGAATACCGTGTGTGTTCCGTTGTGCCAAGCTTTCTGAGCAATAAGCATACTCTCCAGGCATCATCTTTGTGCTTCAGTTCGACTTGGAAAACATCTTCGTAACGTCTGAACCACGAATCGACGGTCAGGCCGGCATCAGGGTCATAACGGAATTCAGCATCTACGTAACGTCTGAACCCCGAATCGACGTTCAGGCCGGCATCAGGGTCATAACGGAATTCAGTGATACTGTTGGCAATCAAGTCGACTGAATCTGTATCTGGATCGGAATCGGGTGGTTGGATTTTCAGTTGCTGCGTCAATGTTTCCACCAAACGTAATTGTGCCGCTTCAAACTGGTTTTGTTGTCGCAGCAGGATTTCTTTCAACGCTTAAGCAGTTATTGTCATGATTCTGTGGGTTCGGGCGTCGCCAGTCTGTTATATCTGCTGATTCGTCAATCTAAGGTATCTGCTGCTGACCCGCTCCAGTGCCTAGTGTCGGAGAGAAAAGACTCACAGGAGGGAACACAGCTGTATTCCGAACAAGCGAGTGAGTGAGAGTGCAAAAGTTACAACGGCCCCACGCTATTTAAAGGGGACTTTTGATCCAGGCTGTCTGATAGGCGTTAGTGATCACCCGTCAACATCGATCGTGCCTCTGTGAGAAGCCTGAATGCTGATCACATTCGGTCGTGCTTCTGTGGCCGCAAGAACACTCATCAGGTCTTGCTGAATTGATTGATTGATTGATTGGCCTGGATGCTTGCCGGCTTTCCAGTTGAGTTTTTGGTGGAGCAGTAGGTTCCGGGCGTTCTGAAGTTGCTTTCAGGAATCTGACCTTCCTGATAGTTTGGTAGTAGGACTGTACATCTCCCCATGCAATTGAGCTGTCCACTAACTTTACTAATATAACTAGTTGTATTGTTGCTGCCGTCATATTTGTGTCCTCTAGAGGGACCATCTGGAAGCAGCGACTGATATGGTCTCATCTAGAAAAGCTTACCAGTGGATATGCTTGAACAGGGCAGGCAGCATTTAGCCCGTCCGTGAACTGGTCTCTCCAGGGTCAGCTGGTTTAGTCCAATAAGCGTTTCCATCTGCTTGTCCATTTTCAATTTTTTCCGTTCAGCGTCTTTCACAAACAAACTTTTCATGCACCTTACCATTCAATCACTTATTTCCTATTCGAATTCTCCTCAGCAATGTGTTTGGGTATCTTCAACCGGTGGAGCTTCTGTTGAATCCATCTGGTCACCATAGTTTCGGATTTTATCATCTCTTCTATCTTCTTGGCCTACGATATGGCTTTGAGCTCGGGATAGGTCAGTGGTTAAGGGACGAAGTTCCGTGGTTCGAACTTAACCCAAGCCTTTTTGCTTCCTTCAAATGGCATGGCAGCTATGCATCGTAAAGTTGTTTCAGTTAAGCGCTTGCTTTTACTTTTATCTCATCAAAACCTACGTATGCCTTGCCAGTTTTCTTTTCGGCCATCTTTTTCTGTTCATTTTTGAGGTCGCAAAGGCACAGGTTGTCAAGATTAGGTTGGCAGCTGGTTTAAAAGCATCTGTATGGATCGAACACAGACGGCGGAAATGACAGGTTACTACGTAGACTTCTATGCTATCTGGCCCGTGTTTTGTCAATGAAGTTCTTCAGTTGTGTAGTGAAAGCATGCTGGTCGGCTGATGCCCCAGCATGTACAATTCTTCTCTAACTTCTCACACAGTTTCCACGCACGAGCTTACTGACCCCCGTGGTTCGAACTCGACCTCTGCCTGTCGACTTTCCCTGCCGTGGCTCGGGCAACCTGGCAGTATCTCAGCCCTTGTACTTCCTCCGGATGGCATGACAGCTAGGCACTGGAAGGGTGTTACAACTGAATGATTATTATTTTATTCCACACGCTGATATATGGTTCCATTTTTTTATTGCAGAGATCTATCCATGTTCTTCGTCTATGACTTTCGCTAAAATCTCTGTTTCATTTCGGACAATAGTCCTCTCATGTCTGACCCTTATCCTAAGCCCAGTAGCTGCCAGTCTAACCGGATACACCGAAGCCAGTAAGTAGACTTCATTTGCTCATCACTTTTATTCGCATTGGCAGCACAAATTTCCCTCTTATTCTGTCGATCTTTGCCCTTTTTAGTCTTTGCGTAGGTGGGGCGAGATGGCTCAAGTGGTTAGAACGCGAATTTACTGACCGGAAGGTCCGTGGTTCGAACCCGATCTCTGCCTCTCGACTTCCCCTGTCTAGGCTTGGGCAACCTGGCAGTATCCTAGCCCTCATGCTTCCTTCGGGTGGCATGGCAGCTAGGCACTGAAAGGGCGCTAAAGCTGAATGATTATTATTATTATTATAATCGCAGGGGGCTTGTACTTTTTGAACCTTCTGGGTTGATTATATTTGCAAGGATGCTCGGGTTTTCATGGTTGCATCGTTTCGGATCCATCTTAACCGCTCGTTGGTCCGTCTCTCTGATCCTTCTCAGTGCAACACGTCCACCTGCCCAAACATCTGTAGTGCGCTGCCGCTCGCTTTTTGCCTTATACCACTGTTTATCTGATTGTGACTGCATCCGTCATATGCAACAGTGCTGCGAAATCCGTTCCAGACGTGCCATTATCTAATCCAGTTTCTGGTCTTCCGACAATTGAAGTACTTGTTCGTTTGTTGTGATTAGTACTCATGGCCGGTAAACCAGTCTGGGAAGAGTTAGATGGGGATAGTTCAGCTGACTCTTCATGAAGTTTGTCACCGGATCAACAAAGATGGCCAACTGTCTGTAAGCTTCCAGCAGCTTGAGAATTTCTTTTGTCATCTAGGGCTTATGGATAGTCTCTTAGAGGTATGTTTTTTCACAGTTGTTTCTGAGTCGGAAGTGGTCACCATATGACTGTGCCACGACCCGTTTGAGACCACGTGGAGTCTTTAGCCGTTACCTCTGTGAGTCACTTCCACGAGAACATCATCCGCTATTACTAACCATCTGGACACGTCTAATTGTTTGTGATATTGGCAGGATTGAAATGATTTCATTTATGCATGCTGACGCGGATACAAGCTGGTAACTGTCGCTTCTCCGGTGTCCCCACTTCCTTTGCGCTGCCGCGACACACATCAAGAGTTCTTCTTGGTTTGGGGATTTCCGTAGAACGCTAAGTAGTTGACAGATAGTTCGTTGTTGTTGTTGTTGTTGTTTTTGGGAGCTCTCATCACCTTGATGTCTATTTGTTTGGCATTAAGCACTTGATTGGTAGTATGATAACATGTCAGATTTTTCATCACTCCGTTTCTCTTCATCGCGGACGTTTATACTCATGTGCACAGACAAAGAGCGGATACGTATTCATATTCTATAGTCAAGTCATCATCTGCACACACCCTGTGTCTTTCTATTCCCTCCCATGTTTCACAGTTCTGCCAGAATTTGTTTCGTTACCGCCTGTTAGACAAGTCTACATAGGTTCTCACGTACCCCTGCCGGAAATTCGTATCACTTGTCACGCTTGGCCGCCGCCACCCCTTGGTAATGTCACCTACTACACGAGAGCCAGCCGGACTGCTGGAGGCTCGGGTCCTCGCTTGCATTATCAGATCCCGTTGCATCCATTAGCCAGCTCGTTGATGGACAGTAATGGCTCAACGATAATCCTCTCCAGTGCAGACAGCGCACGCTCTCTTGCGTCCTCTGACTTACACTGTCTTGCGAGCACACAGTTTGGTGCAGTCTTGAGTCCGCCATTCCGCGTCGTACTAGCAGGTAAGCTACTTTGTATATATACGTCATGGAATTTTAGAGCTGAGTAATTCTTTCGTAACTTCAGATGGATTCTATAAGTATGTTCTCAACTTTAGCTCGTTTAACACTTTGGTGGGCCTGTTAGAAGGGTGGTTGAGATAACTGACCTTGAAAAGATTCAAGCCTCCTGCATTCAGTTGGCAAGGATATATATCCGGTTATTGCTTTCTTTTTGGGCTAAGCTTCTTTTAGAACGTCTGGTCAAGTACATCGTGAATTTATACTGCTAGACTGCTCCTTGCTGCCGTTTAGTCCAGAAACCCGACACACATCTCTGGTCTGATGAAGCTGTCAGCTAAACTTTAGGGTGGCCTAAATCTAGTCTAATCTAATCTAGGGACGAGAGGGTTCAGTGGTTAGAACGCGACCTTACTGATCGGAAGGTCTGAACCCGACCTCTGCCTCTCGACTTTCCCTGTCTAGGCTTGGGCAACCTGGCAGTATCCCAGCCCTTGTGCTTCCTTCGGGTGGCATGGCAGTTAGACATCAGAAGGGTGCTACGGCTGAGTGATTTTTTAAGGCCAGGAATTGCAGGAATTCCGGATGTCGGCAAATTTATGCGTCTCTTTCACTCCGTTCACATGAAAACAGTCGTAATGAAGGCTGTCGCTTTCCAGTCTAGAATCATCAATTTTGTGACGCTGAGTTTACTCTGGAAAAACAAACTCATTTGTGCAAATCAGGACGATGTTAAGGGAACACTCAACTGAGCGCGCTGCATAAAGGACGCCTCTCGTTTCAGCTGGTACGGTATTCGAGTAAATCGCAGTACATTTTCTTGGAAAACACTACTCATAAGCTTGCTGAAAACTCAGAACAAATTTCGCCCTTCTTGGGGCTCATCAGGAAGGTGCAGTCCCTGAGTTTCCCAAATCAGACGGAATTCGCCTAATGCTTTTATTTGCACACCAATTTATTTTTACGAGACACTCAACTGAAATCCAGCTTATTCTCTCGTTCCTGATATTCTTCAACTCTGTTGTGCACAAAGATCGCCTTGCGTTTCAGTTGGTACGGTATTTGGTGTATCGTAGCATGTTTTCTTGATAGAACCCATTAACTTTTCCAAATTGTATCGCCTGATGTTTTCTGCTCACTTCAAACGTTCGTGAGGCCATTTTCAGTCGGTTATAAGTGAATTTCCGATCAACTCTTGTTTGAAACGGATTTGCTATGCTCTGGCACGTTTTTTTACCAACTTGTCAAGTTGCCATTCCTCCTCTTTGGGTAGTTTGGTTGCTCCTAGTGGACCGTCCAAATCAAACATGAAACTCATGTTCTGAGATGCAGGTACGAAATTCCAGCCAACTGGTCTCAAACTCCGATGTGTCACTCAATGATTTTGTAGTCCCATTAGAGGAATTAGTGTGTATTTACCTGTGTTGGCTGTTGGCTGTCCATGTAATCGGGAGCTTGGTCAACAGAGGGATGTAGATTGTCCCTTTCTGTTTGCTGTTCACTATCCCAGCAAAATTGGCCTTCGTAATTAGTAGAGAACTACCATCGTGACGCCACTTGTTGGGAGTTTTTTTACGGCTTTCGGATACTGTCCGTAACAGACTCATTTCTATCCCAGATTAACGTAATCCCTCGTCTAATTCACATGAGGATGCAATGTCTCTCCAGTCTGTGCTGTCATACGACCTGGTTTAGGTCAACGTACTTTCCTCACCTTGCTCTCTACTGTGAGGGATTGTACTGTCCAGTTTGTTGAACTTATTTGCGGTTATCACGTGGTTGTATGTTGTGTAAAGCAGTCATCTTAGAAAACTTCTCCCAATATGTTGTGTAAAGCAGTCATCTTAGAAAACTCCCAATGCCGCACGCTGCCTTCGAGGTACTGATCAACCGGTTGACTAAGACTTTTCTCGATGGGATCGGTTGCTTTCGGGACCTCGGTTCACTCATCCCCGTTTTTGTGTAGTTTTGTTTATCGTAGCTTGGACAACAATCAACGCTATTCGATGCTGTAGCTGGCCTCCAAACTTCATTTCTCCTTTAGGAGACTTGGGTCCAATCAGCTTCAAACATGGGGCCACCTGAATGTTTAACTTCCTCATGTAAACTATCATTTTCAAAGATATGGTCGGAATTTGAATATTGCTCATTTGAAAACAATTCCTGCTATCAGAACTTCAAACTTGACTGCACAATTTAGTCAACCGGTAGAATGTGGTTTTGTAACTACCAGATTTCTGTGCAATTGTGAATTTTAACCATTTCATGTGGTTATAATTTGTAACTGTTTTTCATTTAGCTACGTTGAAGCGGTTCATTGACGTACAACTGAATCGAATGGGTCGCTACCCAGATGAGGCTCATTCGCGCGCATCTCGTAGCAGTTGTAATATTTTGGCTCAGTAAGCGTTTGGACGTTTGATCCACCTGATCCCCAACTCTCCCAGAGCATTTTTTGGAGTCTGTTGCTCTTCATCGAAAAGGTGTAATGATTAAACTCAGTCGCTTTTGCAGATGAAACATCTCTCGACGTCTTTCCCATTTGTACTGGAACTAGTACCGATACAACACTTACCAGTTTTTTATTCTAACGGACCTTGTTAAAGCGTTATCTTTCCGCCCGATTCGGTGTATGGTCTGGCCCAAGGGCAATTCCCAAAAATGTCGCTCCTTGGTCTGTTATTTTGGATGTTGTTCATGTTCTGCATCCGATTCTCGATCAACACCTGTCGACTAATTTCTTATATCTCTTGCCCTTGTTTCCCTCCCTTGGTCATCTTGCAGATCCCAACAGGCATTCTGGACAATTGGTTATCCAACACGCTGTGGAACATTGGACAACGGTCATCCGTTGTGATTTGCCCCCGACTACGTCCAGCGATTCTATACAGTTCACTATCAATGGGACTAGGATTGAACCCATTGCTGGTAAGTGCTACCTGTCCGTCCGTGTGGGAAGTCACCGAAGTTATCTACAACATTTTGCGGCCTTGCCCAACTCTCAGTTGTCATCAGTATGATAGTTAATTCATCAAAAGTCGAATTAAGAGTCATTCCGGTTTCGTCTGGCCTAGTCACCAAGCCGCTACCAGTTTTCTGTTTGCTTCGATCTCTAAATCGCTTTACAGGTTGTCTTGACGGCAGCGACCCTTTCAAATGTTTATTTTCAATGTAACGCCACCAATAATCCTGTGCTTTTTTATCCGTATCCTTCCGCCTCTGCTTCGCCTCCTCCCCGTATACTGTATACATGTGTTTGTTCTTTTTTGTGGCTACGGAATAGTTTGCGTATTTGAAATGTAAGCATTTCTAAGGCAGACAGAAACATGCATCCTTTATTAATTATCGAATATGGAGCAGGCAGGCTTTCATCCATTGTACTCCGTTTTTTGTACAGTTTAGTTCCGTGTAAACACCAAGTTTCTGCCACTGTTTAGTTTGTCAGTTCCTTGTATCCCCACTTCGTGATGCCGTAAAACGTACCGGTTGGCTCGTCACTTGAGGTTACTACAAAGCCACCGGCCATCTCCGTATTCTGTTCGATTTCATGGTTGACTGCATAAAATGCGCCGAAATGTCAACGGACGCTACAGAGTGGATAGAATGTGCTGATAGTGGAAGATATCGTTGATCGCACTGCAGATCACTACGTTGCACAGCTGGCCTCCAATATAGTTCTTTCCTCCGTCGACCTAGAGGCCGGCGCCTCAAAAATCAAGGTCTTTTCCTGATCTGACAGTTAACGAACTGGCGCCAGTGTTCTTCTCTGGTGATGCTGTCAATGGTGTTGATGTTGCTATCGAACTCGGACCAACCATCCTGAATGACAGGCTAAAAAGGTCACGATTCGCCTCGATCGAATCCACAGAACGTTCTCACAAGTGGTGGTACAAGCAGAAATAGGGTCTAAAAATCAGTGTCTGAATTAGTCCATCATCCAACGTTACGCTTGCGAAACCTTACTGACTTACGTTTCGGGCATTCGAAAAATAGGGGTTTCGAATGATGAATGTTTGGGGATTATTTTCAGCGCACACTCTAGGACGATGGCGTCCGCCGTCGATGCTCCGCCATCTCTCGACTCGAGCAGCGAATCCAGCAGCGTTGAATCCGATGGTTCACACACGCTTACGTACCAACGTCAACAGAGTTGTTCCAGCCCCTAAACAGTACTTATTTCGGTCACCTTAATACTTGGATCGACACTGGTGGGTCAGAATACATGGGCATGTGGCCCAATCACAGTCAACATTAGGTTCACATTTACGGACCGTTGTGGTCAGACAGTGGGGAACCGAGACATTGAGTAAGTCGACATCCTCGCGCAGAGGGTAGTCGAACTAAGGTAGATAGGTAGGTGATTGGGTAACTCTCTCGGAACCAAAAAGGGTACTGGATGCAATGAAGAAGACGAACCCGATCTAAAGTTTTAAATGTGACGACTGCGACAAACCTCATTTTGGCCAGATTGAAGGAAGACTCGCCACCAAAATACACTAGCACAAGTTTTCCAGGGGAAACCATAGCCAGTATCACTTATTTCGGTTCGCAAAAGTGGCGATGGACACCAGTTCAGTTGGGACAACGTCCAACTACTTGCTCACGGAAGAACGAAACGGGAACAGGAGTTTGCCGAAGCGTGGTAGTCTACACAGAAATTGATCAATAAGCATCGATATTGACTCATTCTGTTATCCGGCAGGAACAAACTAATTACACAGTTGTGGGGTTCTGATCCCCGTGGGAAATCAAACGACCTAACAGCAATCAACGAACCAGTCGGATCAAAGAAAGGAAGCTACTAAAAATAGAAGGCCATCCAATCAATTAACCAAGTGGAACAAAAACATATCACAAACCCGGGAGGAAATGGCCCAGTCACAACGGAGAAACAGAACTGTCGAATTGAAGGCTGCCAACGAACAAGCCAGACACCAGGAAACTAGACCACAACGCGACTCAGACTCCAAGCTGGCCCACCAGATCACGCGAAAACCCTTTTGGGACCGACCAGTCATTTTGGATCTCTTAGATACTGTTTGGAAACTGTATTAGCACAGGCAGCAGTGGAGGAATTTACTCACTCAATCCTGCACTGACGATGCGCCGTCGATTGCTTGTGAATCGACCGGCTAACAGACCAAAACTATGCAGCGCCCCCGAACTACTTATATCTCCCACAATCGACAGTAAATAGTTAAGTTGAAGCGTTCACAGTCGCCTTTCGTTGATCACAGATCTGGGCAGCACTGCGTCAGGTGATATCAGTTGTACATTGTTCCATGTTTTGGCATGACTTGATACTTCGGCCTTTGGATATGTTTTTTAGTTCAATTCAGCCCAAAGGTTAACACAGAATTCATGTACAAGTACGACAGATTCCATGCAGAACTGAGTTGTGTCCAACACCGTTCCAACTTGCAATGCATTCGACGTCATTGAGTGTGTCGTATACTTTTACTGCCTAATTTAGGTTACATAATACCCGCACCTTGACACGTAACCTTCGGACCTTCGGTTGACTTGCCATTAAACTGACCAACTGCTTGCCTTTTCTGAATGAATGCCATTCCTGATCAGTAATAGACTGAGATGTCGAAATATAATGTGGATTTAAGTAGTACGGATAGAAGATCCGGATATCATCGAAAAGTATGGTTACCATATGGAATGCAGGTGGGCAAATTAATGGTAAACAAAACATGCTCGTAAAAACTATTGATACCAGTTACTAATGGTGGCCAAATCGGTGAGAACACAGTGTCGTACTGGAAGATTCGACATCCGGGTTGATGAATTTACTCCTGTAACGATTTTTTTTGGCTCATCATCACTTCGTCTCTGACAGCGACACGGATGATGAACACCTTTGCCTCAATATTGGGCAATTAACTCATTTATTTGGTGAAAAACCTGATGTGTAAAAGAGATCGGAACAGAAGGGGAACTCACAAGCATTTTTTGGGTGTATACACTTTCAACACTCAGTTAACCAACTCTGGGTAGAGCCTGTTTGTGCGTACTTCGATTTGCCGCCATATCTCCCGGCATAACTAATCACAGTTAACCAACTCTGGGTAGAGCCTGTTTGTGCGTACTTCGATTTGCCGCCATATCTCCCGGCATCTCTAACTAATCACAGGGAGAATCACTTGGATGTCATCTCTTGGAAGGTGGACCGCATTCAACGATTCGTATGTCCCCGGGCTCTAAATTTACGCCACTGAATTTGACGTGAAAAGCAATGCTCTTCTCGGTAGACTGGCACGTGATTGAGCCACCAGTGTTTGTGGACCGCATTCAACGATTCGTATGTCCCCGGCCTCTAAATTTACGCCACTCTGAATTTGACGTGAAAAGCAACGCTCTTCTCGGTAGACTGGCACATGATTGAGCCACCAGTGTTTGTAGTGCTGGATGCGGTCCTTAAGGAAACCACATGCAGCATCGACAAACGTTAGTTTGACAATCGCAGCGTTACGCTCTGATCGGCGCCAGCGATGGTTTGATACACTCATAATAAAAGGCTGGGAGGCAGCTTAAATCTTCCGCTTATTGTGACCGTCTGGCAGAGCAACCCCCGCACTGTCAACGTGACACATATGAATCAATGGCATGTCGTTTGTGATGGCACAGGTCTCGTCAATAGATGAATACGATTCCGGCTGTCCTTGATTTGTGCACTTAATTGATACATCACCAAAAGATGTGATGTGCCCCCACTTGTACCGCATTTTGAACCATAGTGTTGTTAATGCAAACCAAACGCCGATTTATCAGCTGACTCTGATCATCATCCCTAGGACTAACACCTTTTTTACTATTGCATTTACGTATCTCAAGTCAACGAGACGCTGTCAGTTGTTCATCAAAGCTGGACCACGTTGATCAAGCCGTTCTGCATGTTCCTTTTCATGGCAACAGCAATAGTTTGTATACATTTTAAATCAGACTCACCTTTCAGCTCTGTGGCTGTCCTGATGGTGGTGACAAGTCTTCCAACTGCTGTTTCCGCTCTTCAACTATCTTCATGGTCAGAGGAACGTTTTGTTTGGCAGGCTGGTTGTTTATTGATAACGGTACCGCAAAATTGCCTCTGTATTTCGGTATGAGTGTGGTGGTGATGACTCGTGGAGGCGAGTAGGTACGCGATTTTTTGGGGGTAATTTTCCATTGTGCAGTGAAGCCCCTGTTTATGAGACCGACTCGAATCTTTTTCTCATATGGTGAGTCCTTTCGAATCTATTTGTAGACGCGTTTTATTTCCAGCAATGTGTATAGCCTTGTCTGCCTTTGTTCGTTTAGCGATCTCCGAATCTTCAAATCCTGATTAAACTTTTTTGCACCACCCACTCGCCATTCCTTCAGATGACTTCCCAATAAAAAATCGAGTGTAAACATTCACACTGACTAATGAGTGGAATCAACTACAGTGGTGTGATATCGATTGGATCGATCCGACTGGTGCTTATCAGTCGTCTGTCATCGCTTAATTTGAGGATTAGTGAGAACTTGGTTTTTGGCGGACAGGCTACATCGTAGGTATTTTGGTTGCTCCTGTTGTCACATGAATTTAAAAGTGACCCAGCGAACGAGGACTGCTTTTTATTGGCTGATGAGTTCGTAGTTTTTCGGTAGCCGAGCCGCTTTTAATAACCGAACATCAGGTCGATTGGACGAATGTCACTTGCGGTCTGAGGACTAAACGGAGACATGTCTTGATTGGTCAGAACGTCCGCCAATCTAGATCTAGCATCTATAGCTCGACGCTTCCTCGCGAAGATTCTAGCTCGACCTTGTGGAGCGTTCTGTGATGACCCTGCAAACGCAGTTTTGCAACAGTCCTCATTTTCTCTTCATAAAGGACTGTCTCAAGCTACCGTGCCTTCTGATGTACTATAGGGAGCAGGAAGCCAACGACTGACATAGAAGTTGCACCAACGTCAACAGAACTCAAGGACCAACACAACTGGTGCGGTTGTAAGGTGCTTTCCGAAGCCTAGATAAGTTTCACTGTGATGCGAATGCTTCCAAACTACTGTTGGGTTTCGATATGCTTAAGTAGAACGGGTATGGTCTCAACAAGGCAGCTCACCAGCACTTGAGCTTGAGCTGTCCTAAATCGATGAAATCGGGTCCGATAAAGGTGTACTCTTATTCGACTGCTGTTTGTCAGTAAAGATCGGTTGCAACTCCTGAATTCGTCATGGAATCTGTGGAGTCAGTTTCAATGCACCCTTGTTATTTTAGTCCCGTTTTAGGGTTGTGATTATGAGCCAATTCCCCTTGTTTTATAGACTTTGCCACTTAGTGTGGCATTTTCCTCAAAGCGTATTCGATGTTTACAAAACCGACGTCGACGGAGAGGATTTCCTCCCGTAGGAAAATTAGTTTGTGTGTCATATGCATCTCATCTCATGGAACTTGTCTTCTGTTCCAACTTACCACAGATGGTGTGAATGTGTCATCTGCAAAGTGGTCGTCTTTATGGTGAATCAGGTTTATTGGCAGGATCCCTTAGTTTCGATCCAGAACCTGGCCCTGGCATGAAAGAATGCAGGACATTTTGCTAGCGTCGGGATGTTTAATCTTTCAGTCAGTGTTTGAACAATTTCCGAAGCCGCAGCCGTTGACATCTTAGCTTTTGCGTTGTCAACGACATAAACGCACTCATTTTTCAAGTACCAAAGATTTTCATCCCAGCTAACCAGATGTCATACAGCTTGTTGAGTTTGGTCTGGGAGCTTTGTGTAGATAACTGACACCAGACTTACCTTCAGTGTCACCGCAAGAACGAATGTCGTTCGCAGTTGAATCAACACCCATTGAAAATCCAAGCAATACGTCCCCATACGTGTCCTTCAATGGGCCACAGTATGATGTTCGCCAGAAGAAAAGTTTGCGGTGTGATGATGCCACCGCGTAAACCGGAAGGTATCAGTTCACGACCGTCTTCCGGGTCTCACTTCCAACCAAATGTTCGAAGAGGGAGAAGAAGGATCCTAGTAGCCTTGGTGCTTTTGAGATAAGTTGCTTCGTACCCTTTATCACTGGTACTTACAAACTGCAAAGTACAACGAACCTGTTGAAAAAGATATGGGCGCTTTCGCTTCAGCCCGCCTTCTGTGACCCTTCTTGTTCTCAGTTAGATACACTACTGTTTTCGATAAAACCCGCGGTCGTTGGATTTGATCCCGCATGTTTCCATCCGGATTATCTGGACCGTGGGAGTCTATAGTGTCTCTGGTATGTTAGCACCGCCACGTTCTGTCTTATTCTCTATTCGCCGAGGTTTCGTCCACTGATGTTGCTGTCATTGATGATGATTAATCATAGGGGAAGAGTTCCTCGTATCCAAATAATTTTTTCACTGAGTTTTCACTCAACTCTCACACATCACAATCATTCAGCCTTCGCTGTTTTTTTACTCTTCTACAGACAAGTACCGAGTTATCGGTTCTCCAGGTATCCCGGGCAAATTTAACTTGGTCATTCGCGCGTTCGATGGTTCCGATGTCGGAGACTACCGGTGTTTCACTCGTGATCCACTCACTGGCACCGATTGGTTTGACAGTCGAAGATATCAACTCACTATGCACGGTAGGTCCTGAAGTATCATCGTTACTTACGCAGCGTGATGATCAGGCTGTTGCGATTGCATTACTGAGAAGTGGGACTCCCCACTTCCGGTCCATCACAGTCACTCACCAGATAGCAAAATCTTCGGTGAGATGCCACTCCCTGCATAGTCCAAGCATAGTCCTGGGCCAGCCACGACCAAGCACGTGCTGGCTTTTCATAAGAAACTAAACACCCTGTTTTCTTATGGCGCCTTCCATGGAGCGGGACTAGCATACTTGTCTGCCGTGTTATCAATTTTAACCTTTGGTCGCCATTTAACATTTGTCGCATCGTAAAAGTTGTGCGTTTGATCGATCATACACTGGATTGTTGGGTAAATAGGTAGGGTTTAGGAACACAAGCACGATAACCGTAATTCATCTCGTAAGGTAACCATCCGATAAGTTTGGAGTCGGTTCTCAACGTTTTTTTCGACCTGAGGAGAGGTTTGGTCATTTTCAATGGAGATTATGTCCTGTCAGTGGAGCCAATCTATGCTGGAAAGCCTAGAAGCGCTGCACAGCTGTTTCATTCTGGTTGGAAATCACGAAACTCGGAGTTTCTGTTTGATTTGTGGTACCACCTTGTTGGAGTTATCAAAACGGATTGTGCACTAAAACATTTCATGCATTTGAGGGCACCTGTACTTACTTGTGTGTGGTGATTCTTTTCGGAATGTTTAGTTTTGTCATGATCGACCACAGGGCCTGGAAAAGGGAATGTGGTTATTGTCGGCGCCAAAAGCAACTACGATGAAATTTAATGGAAACCATAGCATACACGACCAAATCAGACTGTTGGATGCAAGCCCCCAATTTTGGCGTGCCCGGCGTGTGGTGACGTGGGAATGGGAAGCCTTATCAGTGTAGTTCGTAAGGTAGAGAGCACTGGGATAATAGCGGCCGCTTGAGGATTGTAGGAATGTTGAGGAGATTAACCTATCCACTTGTCGTTCATGCTTTGGGGTACGAGACGTGAAATATTTCCGTAGGGCTAGTGGCATCGTTTTCAAGGGAATCTGATTATTGCCTCATCACCAGAGCTTGAAGGCGCACGCCTTCCGAGAAGTTACCCGGGACATGTGGTTCGAAGTAATGGACTTAGTTGTATTGAACAAATGCATTAGTGACACCATTTTAATAGCTGCATCGAACATATTTTTCATAATTAATGTTAACTGATAGTGTTAGTCTTCTGCCACATAGGCCAAACGTCCGTTTTTCGCTTGCGCACATGCTGCTTCAGAAAGTGCGAGAATAGTGCAGAATTATATTGTCATGGGGCGTGATGGCTCACTGGTCAGAGCGCGAATTTACTGGCCGGAAGGTTCGTGGTTCGAACCCGACGTCTGCCTCCCGACTTCTATGTATATGCTTGGGCAACCTGGCAGTATCCCAGCTCTCATGCTTCTGTTGGCATGGCAGTTAGGCGGCGAAATGGTGCTACAGCTTAACGTGATTCATTAGGCTGCGGAAGGTCAGTCAGATTATGAAGAACGACCAAGCAGCCTTGGTTGGATAGCAATGTTAGATGGTGATTTCCAAATATCGGCGCACCGTGTTGACTGGTTTAGGTCAGGATAGAATCGGTCGTAAAAAACTTTGCACCAATGAGTCTCATATGGTTGCGATCAATAGAGTTCTTTCAACAGAGGTCTCATCCAGTGAGTACAGCCAATCTATGTTGAAAAGTCCAGAAGCACTGTACATCTGTTTTATTCCTGTTGGGAATCATCAGCAATGCACTTCTCATGAAACTTAGACTCCATTTTCAAAACCGAATGGTGCTTGAACCCTCAAGATACCGACATCCATTTGGGGCTTTGTTAATTTTCGTGCTCTCATTTGGAGTGGCGATCATGCCTGTTTGAGCACTACATCTAACCTACCGGGACACAACTACTAACAAACATGGCATCTTAATAGCCGTTAACGTGTGTTCGATGACAGCCATTGTCCGGAAACCATGTTTGTATAGACGCAATACACTGCTCAAAGTTGCTAGACCTCTTCACCAGTCCACGACTGCTTTCGTCCTTCCATTTCGGGCCCATCAAGTAGGCACAGTCCCCCAGTTTCCGTCAACCTTATGTTCTAATTCAAACCAAATTGCACAAAACTAGCGAATACCCTCAGTTGCATGTTTTTTTGTTTTTACGGGTGGCTCACCCGGAGCCCAGCTGATGTCAAATATTTTTCAGCAACCCTGTGAGTAGTGCATTGCATCTATACGGTGTACCGTGGTAACTCGAATATCGTGCCGGATGAATCTTGAAGCGATCTGGCGTAGCGCATTCAGTTACTTAACAACATCATAAACGAGAGATTCAGCTGGGTCCCTCGTGAATTTCCCTTCAACACCAAATTAATGTGCAAATGAGTGTTTGGGTCGGGTATCTGTGTTTGCACTCTGCTGTTACGTTCTATCAGTCTCTCCGTTTTTTTATAAACCGGATTCCTTCAGAATGTAGTTCGATGTGTAGAATGGTCACTTTTAAAACAAATTTCCCATGGTTACTTTCACATCTTGAAGAACAGCGGAAAGGGTCGGAATCTACGGCTGACTGTTATCTAGGCAATCGGTTCACTTTTCTAGTGGGCTTGCACTAGAATTTTCCCTGCATTTTATATCCCTTCATCACAGAGCGTTTTCATCCATTCGACGGTTGTTTGACCATGATCCACCATTGCAATGCTCTGGTTTTGCTTTCTACGATGATGCAGTGCGATTTCGAGCGGGGGAGGGGGTACCGTACACCAGGCCTTGGCTAAATCGGAACATTTTATTAGACTCTACTAGGAGACAGTCTCTCTCGGGAGTTGCTGTGTCCCCTATATCTGTGTACCCAGCGGGAGCTGTTTACTGTTCATGTCTTTATAACCTTCCAGAATCCTCCTTTACGGCAAAGAGTCTCCTGTCGGCCGATTTCCCTCAACCAGTTCTCTCATCCGGTACGTACACTCCCAACATTGTGGTCAAGCAGGGGCAACTGGTCTCCTTGCTGTGCATTCCTCCAGTTCCGTTTGCAACCAACGCTTTCTGGATTGGTCGACGCCCGCCGACACGTGCAAGTGGTGGTCGGATCCAATTGGATCGCCTATTCGGTGAGCGTAATTGGCTTCTGTACTGTATCCCGATCTTTCCGGTTCATACTTCAGTTATCGAAATTTAAGTTCTCTTTACCCTACTAATCTATTTCTCGCAAGGAAGACCACTACTTAGGTTTGGTTTGCCATTCTGAGAGATCTTTATTGCGCAGGTTTCCCTCAGTCGTTAAGGATAGTGAGAACAGGCACAGGTCAAGTGCATTCTTGCATTCTTCAGTTTTGATGTAACATAGTTAACAAATGACTCATCATTTGAAGTTAGAGAACCCGAATTTACGCACCCAGCATCATACTATCCAAACTCCGACCGCAAACAATGCGCAGCTTGGTAATTGCTACTCCTGCTTATGGTTGGATGCGATGTCCGTGAAAATAGCTACTAAGTTGAATAATTTTAGGTGATGAATGATTGTGCCAGAAACAGAGAACGAGGATTGCCGAATGATTGGCTTTAATCTTCTATCAATTTGAGTACATCAGCTCAACGAATAGCGAGTAAAAAGTTAAACACAACGTCAGTATATAACATTCTTCCCCGCTGGAGGGATTATTGTCAGAATATAAATTGGGCTTCGCGGTTTCGAAGATTATACGGTCGAACACGTTGTTGGTCTGTGATGTACTGTAGGACATTCCCTGGAACTTCACTGGGTTGTTCTGGTGGTGCCGTTTCGCCTCCAGGAGGATCAAGCGAGTGTGATTGAGTCTCGTCTGGAGGAGCCGCTACACTTTCGATTGATTCAGTTAAATAGACATCTGATATTGTCTGTGCTTTGGGTGCCAGATGTCTAAGAGAAACAGTTTCTTCCTTTCCGTTCGGGAAACGAACGCAGGCATACTGCGGGTTACAATTAACAAGTTCCACCTCTTCCACTAACGGATCGTATTTGGAAGAACGTGTCATCCTTTTTAACAGAACGGGGCCTGGAGTCGATAACCAAGTCGGAAGAGAGGTGCCGTACGTTGACTTCCGGTGGAAGTTAAGGAATCTTTCATGTGGTGTCGTGTTAGTAGCGGTGCACAATAAGGAGCGAACAGAGTGCAAAGCATCTAGAAGCACACATTCCCACTCGGTAATGTCCCGTTGTTGGGTCTTCAACGCCAGAGTGATAGACTTCCAAAGAGTACCATTAAGCCGTTCGACTTGTCCGTTACCGCGCGGATTGTATGGGGTAGTTCGACTGGTTGCTACACCCCTGTCGTGAAGAAACGTTTGTACTTCACCTGACATGAAAGCTCCACCACGATCAGAATGGACGTATGAGGGCATTCCGAACAAAGAGAACAACTGATTAAAACACTTGATCACGGTGGATGAGGACACATCCGTACACGCGAAGGCGAATGGGAAACGAGAGTACTCGTCGATCATTGTTAGAAGGTATTTGTTGTGGGAGGTCGATGGAAGTGGGCCTTTAAAATCTATGCTGACGCGTTCAAACGGCTGTGTAGCTTTAATAAGATTGCCAAAAGGGTGATTGAGGAAACGAGGCTTCAATTCCGAACAAATACTACACTGATTTGTAATCGCCTTAACATCCTCGGTCGAAAACGGCAAATTTTTTGAGCGAACGAAATGAAGCATCCGCGTGATACCGGGGTGACATAATGTATTATGAAGATGTTTGAGATCCACCTGTGACATCGCAGATACGTAATCAGTCCGCGATAGTGCGTCAGCGGCTTTATTCTGATTACCTGGACGGTACTGGACATCGTAATGAAAACAGGACAGTTCAAGTCTCCATCTCTGGATTTTGTCGTTTTTTACTTTGCCTTTGTGTTGTTTGTCGTACATAAAGGCGACTGATCGTTGGTCCGTGACAAGTGTGAAGTGATTGCCGATCAGGTAGTGTCTCCACTTTCTCAGAGCTTCAACAATCGCGTACGCTTCTTTTTCGATTGCTGAATGATGCCGCTCACTGTGTGACAGAGTGCGTGAAAAGAAAGCTACCGGGCGCCCGTCTTGATTGAGAGTGGCCGCAATGGCTATGTCGGAAGCATCAGTTTCCACAACGAGTGGACGAGTGTAGTCTATGGTGAAAACGGCTGCCTTTTCCAAATCGTGTTTGAGCTTATTCAGTGCCGCTTGTACGCTATCTGGAATCGGGAAGATCTGATTGCGGACGATTTGATGAATCTTATCTGAGAAACATGGGATCCAGTGTGCGTAGTATGCCAGCATTCCGACCAATCTTCGTTGTGAACGGATGTCACATGGATGAGGCAACTCCCGTAGGGCTCGAAAACGTTCAGGATCCGGTTTTATCATACCATGAGATATTTCGTATCCCAGTAATAGTACTTTCGCAGTAGCTATGATGCTCTTTTTCTGGTTAAATGTAATACCGTGACGTTTTGAGGCCTCTAAGAATTTCTTCAAATTTCGATCATGTTCCTGGGCATCGCGACCACACACGGTAACATTGTCAACATATGCGAATGTATCGAGCAGATTTTCCTCGCGTATGATGTTGTCTATGGTGCGTTGAAAGCAGGCCACACCATTAGTAACTCCGAACGGAATGCGGCGAAATTGAAAGAGTTTACCACATGCCTCGAATGCAGTATATGGCTTGTCTTTGTCGAGAATGGGGATCTGGTGGTACGCACTTTGAAGGTCTAGTGTGCTAAACACCGTGTAATGGGAAACCTTCTCTACAAGTTCGTCCACCTTCGGCAGAGGATACGCATCAAGGTAAGTGAAGCGATTTATGGTTTGACTGTAATCGATGACCATGCGCTTCTTATGCCTGTCATTCGTAGTAACGAGAACCTGAGCGCGCCAAGGAGAGTTAGACGGCTCAATAATTTTGTCAGCTAGTAACTTCCGAACCTCCGTCTCGATAAATACCGTATCCGTGCGAGAGAAACGACGAGATTTAGTGGCAATTGGAGTACATCCAGGGGCGAGATTATCAAACAAAGAGGGGGCGTTGACTCTCGCTGCTTTCAATGTGCATATGGCGAATGGGGGCCGCTTACCCGTGAATGGTATGATGACACTTTGGTGTTGACTGAGGAAATCCAAGCCAAGGATGACGTCTGAACACAAATTGGATAAGAGCGAGAGTTTGACACTTTCGTATAGTGTGCTTTTGTACAGAACGGTAGCATAAAGATGACCGCTAGTAACACACGATAAGTTCGTTGAAGCCATCGAGATAGCGCTCTTAGAGGATGTTATTGTCCAACCATGCTTTAGTGCGATGTCAGAAGAAATATAACTTTCGCAACTACCAGTATCGATAAGTGCGTGAAGTGGGATATTATTCACTATAACATCAACGATTGATTTGGAAAGTCCCATGGATGAAGAGATGTTGAAAATGGATGAGACACCAGGGTTCACCGTCGATGTGATACGGCTTGAACCCAGTTTGGATCGACAAACTTTTTGGAAATGACCTTTCTTGCCGCAAGAATGACAGAAAGACTCACGAGCCGGGCATTTTGAACGAATGTGCTTACCGTTGCCACAGAAGAAGCAAGATAAGGATGTGCTTGCAATCGTGTCACTAGATTCCATCTGAGAGATAAAAGCATCACGAACAGGAGTAAGAGGTTTATCAGTTTTGATAGATGCGGCGCCACAGGGAACATGAGAAGACGAGTCGTATGAGAGTGACTGTTGTTGAGCATGTTCAAGCAGACGTGCCTCGTCAAAAGCTTGTTGAAGCTTAAGAGTGTGTTTTTCTAGTAGTCGTTGGCGAACGGAATTAGACTGCAAGCCTGTGATAAAAGCGTCTCGAATAGCCTCATCCCGATGTTCATCGGCAGAAACCGCACGAAAATTGCAGTCCTTGGCAAGGTAACGTAATTTTTGCAGGAACGCGTCGACTAATTGGCCCGGTTCTTGTTTGGTAGTAGCCAGCACGTGGCGGGAAAACACTTCATTTTTGGGTTTAATGTACATCTTTTCGAGCGTCTGGATGGCGTCTCCGTATGTAGCATATTCACAAACATGTTGATAGACGGACGGAGAAAGAAAATTTACCAAAAGTTTTCTTTTGTCAACGTTTGGGAGTTCGTAAACGTACCGTGCCAATGGATCCATTGTTCTGAAGCAGAAGAGGATTGGGGGTCGGCGTCAAACCGATCTGGGCGAAACAATCGTTCCATTGTATTTTGATAGAAGGTTAAATTGTTGCGCACTCGAATGATTGTGCCAGAAACAGAGAACGGGGACTGCCGAATGATTGGCTTTAATCTTCTATCAATTTGAGTACATCAGCTAAAACATTAGGAAACAATTAGCTCAACGAATAGCGAGTAAAAAGTTAAACACAACGTCAGTATATAACAACCCTTGTCCCACGGAACTCCGGTGCCGCACAAATGCAAACTCCAGATTGTATTGACCGTAGCGATAGGTAAATCACCATGCAGCATAATCCAGAAGTCACGCGGTAGATTGAGTCAAGTACAATGCGAAATCAACTTAGCAACTGGACTCGGTGTTTCGGCATTTGTCTTGGGGTGAATATCCATCCATGCGTTTGGTTGTACCACATCACCGCTGCTTGAACAAGGCGTTCGTTTTCACCATGAGGTGAAACACACTCGGATTTTGAGTTTCATTTTAGGAATCGTGAATACAACTTTCCTGGAATTTTACTTGTTGGGTGGTATTCCACAAACTATAAAGGCCAGTTGATATGTTCAAGCTGTGGTAGGTCGATGTTTCGGGACAAACTTGAGCGTGCGCGCACACGCGGACAGTCTGACACCAGTCCTGATCAAAGTGTTCATTTTTTACGTCAAACAATAGTTGCGATACTTGTGTATTGATCGTTTCAATTTGTCCAACGTATGTCATGACATTTTTGCGTTTGTATACCGTAGCTGCGGAATTTTTCGGACCGTTTTTCATTTCATCTAATACCTGATTGCGACGTTTTTGTATGCTTTAGTGGTACAACTGTTTCGCCGCCCTGGCGCAATCGACCAAACGGAGCAATTGAGTGTTACAGAGAACACGCAGTAGTTGTATTTTG